TTTATTCTCTGTGACTCACAGCAAGATTTTAAGAGAATCCTCAAAATAGAAAATTTAAGAGCTAAGGTATTAGCTTAAGATGAGCCACACTGTTCTAAATGAACTTATGTTCATCAATTCATTTAAAACTCACAACAGTCCTATTAAGTAGGGACCACTCTTAGCCTCCCATTTTGTAACTAAGATAATTGTGAGGCTTTTCCAGTAGGAAGAAGAGATGTGGAGGACAGGAGAGGAGCGGGAGTCTTTCCATCCAGGAGAGCGCTGTTCTGCTGTCTTCCCAAGGAGGCGCCCTTCGCTCTGAACTCGCTGTGAATGTGATAGACTCTGAATCACTAAGCAACTCTTTCTAGAGCTCTAAGCACTTTTTTTCTAGTCTAGGAGTAATTATTATTTTTTTTAAGATTTTATTTGTTTGACAGAGAGACACAGCAAGAGAGGGAACACAAGCAGGGGGAGTGGGAGGGGGAAGCAGGCCTCCTGAGGAGCAGGGAGTCGGATGAGGCGCTCGATCCCAGGACGCTGGAATCATGACCTGAACCTAAGGCAGACGCTTAACGACTGAGCCACCCAGGCGCCCCTAGGAGTAATTATTTATTAAGAGCAAAGTCTATCAGCCCAATGATTCTCTTGCCAGTTTCCTATCTGCTTGTTGGCAGAAATCTCCATCATCCCTGTTAAATAGACCTCATCTTCTCGGAGCCAGCCCTTATCAGGGCACTAGTATCAGGCATTGCACAAGTTTGGGAAAGCTTCGCCCTCGTCATCCATTTTACAGATTGTGTGTGTGTGTGTGTGTGTGTGTGTGTGTGTGTGTGTGTGTGTGTACAGGCTGCTGGCGGGTGGGCAGACTCTCCAAAACTAATGTTTGAGCAAGGATTTCTGGCATGGTGGACCCAGCACGCGAACCCAGGTGTTGAATGGTGGAAGAGGGAGAGTTATCTAAAAGTAGGTAAGCCTCGTAGTGGCACAGGTGACACCGATCCTCGTCAGGGCTCTGACTGCGAGGAAGAGTTAGCTGTTGCTTCTGATTAAAAGAGGAAGCAATACTTCGCCTACGACATCAAACACCCTGGTTCGAAATTGGCGGTTAGGAATCCTGTGCGGCTTTCAAATGCGAGGGTTTGTACCGGAGAGGCAGGAAACAGGAGAGCAAAGTCGTTCCAACCGAGTGAACTCGCTCTGAGACCGCGAGCGTCTCCGTTGGGGGCGGGGGGAGCGCAGCGCCGGGAGGAAGGCGGAGGGAGGGGGGAGCGGCGGCTGCGGAGGGGCTCAGGGCTCCCTCCCTGCCACGGCTTCGTTAGGCTCCCCGAGCCGCGGAACCGTGACAGCAGAGGCCCCGCGTGGGGCGACTTCAGAGGGTGTCACGTTCACAGCGAGTTCAGAGCAAAGGGCGCCTCCTCGGGAAGAGAGCAGAACGGCGCTCTCCTGGATGGAAAGACTCCCGCAGGAGGAGTCGAGGGGCAGAGTCGGGGGGTGGCTTCCGCCGGCCCCGGAGGAGGAGAGAGGAGGGGCGGGCTGGTCACGAGAGGCTGGGGCGGGCCACTGGCGCCCGACCTCGGCGGAGGGAGGGAGGGAGCCAGGGGGCAAGCGCTGGGGAGCAGCATGGAGCCCTCCGCAGACAGGCTGGCCACCGCAGCCGCCCAGGGCTTGGCGGACGAGGTGCGGGCGCTGCTCTCGGCTGGGGTGCCGCCCAACGCGCGGAACCGCCAAGGTCGGAGCCCGATTCAGGTGGGTGAGCCGGCCTGCCGCGGGAGGAGGGGGTGGCGGGCGACTTTGGAGCACAAGCTTTGTAAGGGAGTCGGAACCAGGCCAGCGTTTCGATTCTCGGTAAAGGGGAGACTTCTTGGCGAGTTCTCAGGTGGAGTTTGGAGCCGAGACCTCCCCGTGTCCACGTCCTGGGGGCTTAGGAAGCCACGAGGAATGAGGAGGCACGTGGGGTGCAGAGCCCTAGAGTGGTGTTGGAGATCGGGCGGGGGGGGTGAACCTATTCGTGTTCATACAGTTCGAGGTATGTTCTTTATCTGATACACGGTTGCGAAAGTTTGCGGTAAAAAGCAAGATTTTAAAGAAATGGAAGGTTTGTTGGGTCCACTAGCCCGGAACTCAGATCCCCGAAGGGAGCTGATCATCTTCCTTTCTGGGGCGGGGGGGGGGGAATTGCAGTGGAAACCGTCTGTGTAAATTGAATAAATATCACTTGAAATTATTCAGAATCAACTATATATTGTGTTTATTTTTACTTTAACCGAGTAAAGAAAATATATGCTTGTTCTAAGAATTTAGGTAATACAGACATATGAAGAAAAACATTTTGTGTGATCTTCCCTGAAATAATGTCGTCAGTTTAGTTACCATTTTGAAGGTATCTCTTATAATTTTTGTTATTTTTAACTTGCTTGCTATAGATTTATTTGGGGCAGAGTTTTCAATTCCTCACTGTTCAAAAATGTCGTTTCTCCCCTCCTCACTCCAGTTGTGTGTAGGGGTGGGGGTGGGGGGGGTGTTCGGCATTTGTGGTTGTTGTTTGCCTTCACTAACTTCCTAAATCCAGGCTAAAAAAAACGATTTCTTCCTGGCAGTCACCACCCTAGTTTTATTCCCAATGTCCACAGTGATTTCTGATTCTGAAAAATAAAATCTATGTGAAACAAAAGCTTACTGCACAAAATCCAGCATAACAAGACAAAGGAAAGTAACTGTACCTGCCATTTCACAGATTTCACAAGTCAGTCTTCCTTTCTTGAAACTATGCTACATAGGATAAATTTTATACACTTTAAAATACAGATATAAAAGTAAAACCAAAAATGCCTTAAAACGAGATTATTTGGGATTTGAAGTGCGAAGAGATTTTGAGAGGAGAGAGGCTGTGTGATGGTAGAAGAAAAGCATGAGTCCTTTAAAAAGAATGCATGCATGATTCCTAATTTCTCTAAAATTTTGCTCGGAGACTGTGAGTTTGACCTTGAAATTCTGGAATATGTTAGAAGAGGCTTTATTTATTTAAATACAAAAAGAAAAAAGAAAGTTGGATAATTAGTTTTAACAATTTTTTTTTAATAGGGAAGTAAGACCATAGAGAAAGGGGGGCATGATTTTGGTTTAGAATCCTAACCAAACTTGTGTTTAATATAAAACTAGTTTATAGAAAATTTTAATTAAAGATAATGTGTTATCGAATGGATTTAAGCACTCTACAAATATTCATTTAATGGATTTTTTCTTTTTGCTTTGGACTGCTATTTAATTTAAATATTTATTAAATATTTAAATGTTAGGTTTCCTTCCATACTTTAATACTGCAAAATGTAATGAAAACCTTTAAAACCAGTTAAATGATGAAGTACTTCATTGGATAAACACAATGTTTCATCTATTATATTTTCACCTGTATTATATATATATGTGGAAGGTGACTTCTTCTAAGAACGGGTTTTAGACATGTGTTTTCTAGCTCTGGCACTTTTGCAGTAGAGCTCCCAAAAGATTATGGTATCCTTGGGTGTGGCCCCTTTGTTCTAGAAATTGACACCATATTCTGTTAGAAGTCTTGCATAATTAAGTAAAGGTGGGAGAGCTTTCCCAGTTTTTCTTTTAAAACAGTGAATTGTTCTAATCCACTGCAATAGTTTTTATTTTTGTAGCTGTAATTTGGTTCACTGATACTCTCTCTCTCTTTGAAAATTAAATCAGTTTCACTTTCTCCAGACAAGAACCAGCCACTATAGTATAACTTACTGTTTCCTTGGTTTCGAGAAATTAAAAAATTCATCTTCAATACAGAATGAAATGAAAAATAAGGAATTTCTCTTATACAGTCACTGTTGTCTAGCTAATATAATGAAATAATGGTTACCCTAAAAAAGAATTGTCTGCCTTCACTATCCACCATGCAACACTCCAATTTTAAGGTTGTTGTAATTGTGGATACTATTTAAAGATTCCTCTTTGGTAATGACTTTGTTTCAAAGATATTTATGAAACAAATGAGGGGAGCATCTCCTGTTTAATGAACTCTCAGAGTGTAAACTTGGGAAGTTTCTTAGTTTCCTATTTCTGCTGTAACAAATTACCATAACTTTCGCGTCTCAAACCAACCTAAATTCATTATCTTGTAGTTCTGGAGGTCAGCAGTCTAAAATGAATCCACAGGGCTGCATTTCTTTTGGAAGTTCTAGAGGAAAATCTGTTTCCCTGTCTTTTCCAACTTCTAATGACCATCAACATTCCTTGGCTCATGGCCCCTGCATCTTCTCTCTGACCTCCATTCTTAGATCTTTCCTCTGTAACCTTCTTATAAGGAAACTTGTGATTACATTGGACTCCTCCTGACAATTCCCGTTAATCTCCCTCAAAATAATTTAATCACATCTGCCAAACCTCTTCTCCCATGTAAGGTAATATATTCACAGCTTTCAAGTGTGAGGTAGTAGACATCTTTGGGAGCATTATTTAGTTTACCACAAGAAGGAATTTAGGGGCTGGTTAGACAAAGCTCATTTTATACTTAAAGCGAATTTTAACATTCTGGGAGGCTAAGTGTAGATTAAAAGTTTTACAAAAATTAAAGGTTTGCTGTTTTCATTTTCACTTTTTAACAATTACCTCCTCCTGGGCTTGGATATACAGAAGAAAACCATACAAAATCTCTGGGCCTTACATAATTTTGCATCAAAATGAGGGGGGAAATACAGGAGGTCAGGCTGTAGTTCAAGCCATTTTGTCCCTCACCCTTTTGCTATTGTCTGTGCCTCTGGCAGTGTTCTGTGTGTGGCTGGAACTCCGCAAAAGTTTGGAGAATATAATGGAATTCAGTGTGTACAGAAAAATGAAATGAATAGGAGAACTGGCTAAGGGAGTTGGTAACTGAAAACAGAGAGTAACTAGACACCTGTGGCTTGCACCAGCATCTGCACGGGGTGGGGGCTTCAAAAAGAGTTTCTTTAGTCTTGCCCCTGCCACCGTCCCTGCCCTGACCACTCTGCTCTCTCCGGCAGGTCATGATGATGGGCAGCACCCGGGTGGCCGAGCTGCTGCTGTGCCACGGCGCGGAGCCCAACTGCGCCGACCCTACCACCCTCACCCGACCTGTGCACGACGCGGCGCGGGAGGGTTTCCTGGACACGCTCGTGGTGCTGCACCGAGCCGGCGCGCGGCTGGACGTGCGCGATGCCTGGGGCCGCCTGCCCGTGGACCTGGCTGAGGAGCGGGGCCACCGCGCTGTCGCCGGGTACCTGCGCGCAGCCGCGGGGGGCACCGAAGGTGGTAGCCACACCCTTACGGAAGTTGCGGAAGGTCCCGGCAGGTGAGGTGGCAGATTTAAGAGCTGAAACTCAAGAGAGCTTCTGCAGCCCAGTGCACTCCTTTTTTTCAGAAGAGAACGCTGGCTCCAGGAGAGCAGGGTCTTGGGTCTTGCCTCAGCTCTCGCACTGCCACCCTGTAGGACAACCCCATTGTCCCAATCGCACCGCCTCGCTCGGGCTGCGGACAGGAAATAGCCTAGATGGATTTCCACACATTAAAGCCCATCCCACAAACCATACCCCTATTCCCGCAAACACTCACCCTCCCCAGAGCTCAAGCCCTAGACTGTGGAACAGCGAAGACTCCCGGAGGCTAGAGGTCTAGTGGCCCCTCTTCCTCCAAACTAGCTGGCAGCAGCATCCATTCAGCTACCCTCAGTTTCCGCATTAGCATACATAGGTAGCTGGACCAACCCGGCTATTTCCAAAAGCATTTGAGCATGGCATCGTCTGGAAGAAATCTGTCACCCCCAACTCTACTGCAAATTTTGACTAAATCCGACCCTCTGCTCTATGAGGTGTTGTTTTCCAGAGCTGCCCAAGGGAGAGCGATCTCTCCAACGCTGGCAGTCCGCACCCAGAGATTTGCTACACTCTCTGAGAAACGGAGACCCTCTCTTACGCTTTTTCTTCTCTGCGGGAGAGATCGCTGAGAGAGGGAGATGGCCACGTGATCCTCCTTGCCTTCTCCTTCTACAACCACAAAGCCTTCTTCTCTTGCGGTCCCCTTTCTCCACTTCCACTCCTGCCTGCCAACTTTACTGATTTTTTCTGAAGGGAGAACTAAATTAGCACGAATATTTCAGGTAAACCATGACTTCGAAGATACTAAGATCTATCCCATTTTGGCTCAGAATTGGGGCACTAGACCCTCTGGGATTTAATGGGGGATGAGAGGACAGAGGGGAGAGGCTTGCTCTGAGCCCTAGACCAGAGATGCAGCGACTTTTGAGCCTTCGGCGTGGGAAGTTCGAAGATCTCCTTTAGCCTGCCCACCCTCTCTCTCTCCACGAACTGACGTTCGCATCCGGACACAGCGCAGGGCGAGGGACCAATCATAGGGCGGGTTGCGCGGAGCAAAAAACGGGGAGGAGCTGAAGAGAAGGATTAGATGACTGAATCCGGCCACCCGCAAATAAATAGAGTAACCCTTTATAAGCAAAACTACGAGATTTGACCCAAGCACACAAGTCCGTCCACTCCTTTCTTCCTCCCCTCCATCCCTCCCTCCTTCTTTCCCTTTATCCTCCTACATAATCAGCTCCATTGTAGATGGGACTTAAAGTGAATGAGAGAAAACAGGAGTCCTGCCCTCATAGAGCTTACATTCTGGGAAACAGACTTTAAGCAATAAACAGCGTATTTTCAGACAGTTCGTGAAACCGATGTGAAGGATAAGAGTGAAGTCTGAATGGGAAGAGGGGCTTAGAGTGATCAGAGAGCCTGACCGATGAAAAGAGATTAGCTACTGGAGGCAGAAACACTCTGTACACTTTGTACAAGTGCAAAGACTGTGGCGGTTTAGGACAGAAAGGCCGGCTGGAGCATGCACACAGCGAGATCAGAGAGGAAGGTCAAAGAAAGGATGCTAGGTCGAAACGTGGGTTTTGTTCGAGAAACTTTCGAAAGCCATTAGCGGGTTTGGGAGGGAGAGCCTAGGGAGAAACAGCACAGCCTAGAACCGAACGTTCCTATACGCCCAGCCGCTCCAGCGCCTCAGGTGCCCTCAGCTTACGCGCGTCACCCAGTCGCTCTGCGTCAGGTGCAAGAGACGCCTGCAGATACGCGAAGAGCCTGGCGTTGTGTGTGGCATGCCCTCAGCACGCATTATATACCCGGGTTTTCCTGTCGCAAGCCCGCCGGCGGCATGCCTGCGCCCTCCCTGCCCTCGCCTGGCGGGCCTGGAGCTCGGCGAGCCCGAGCAGCCAGCCGCGTGGTGCAGGCGGTATCTGCGGGATTGGGGAGTCGGGCTGCTGACAGGGTCCAGCCTTGACGGAGAGACCCTGTGCTGAGGGGTGGGGGTATTGATAAGAGGCCAGCGAAGCCGTCTGAGAACCTTGCTCGTAAGTGTCTGAATACCGAGTGGGAGACTATGAGGGGAAGGAGGGATGGGTCGCACACCCTTCGTTGCTAGTTGCTAATGTGTTTTTTCTTTCTGCCCTCTGCAGACAGCCCGGACTTAAAGAATGACTGAGATCTAAAGACACCTCAAACTAGTTTGATCTTCAGTCAACAAGTGAATTACCCCACCCCACCCAACTCCTGCCTGCCTTCTAAGTTGCCATTTATCAAATAACGCTTTTTAACACTGTAGACTGCTTTATATACATCTGCCGTCGCCTTCCCCTAAATTTCCATTTGTATGTCCATTTATACATTATTATAAAAGGTAAAAAAAAAAAACACTGTTTCTGCCTTTTTATTATTGGGTTGGAGTTTTCTGGAACTTTAGGCCTATGTGGGCACTTCCTCTTTCCAGCCTCACACCCCCCCAGGGTGCTGTTGTTGTGACAGACATTTAATGAACTAAGGATACGAAACTTAAATGGGTTACATGGCCTTTCCTGTGTCATACGGCCATCAAGTGGTAGTGCCAAGGTTCAGTTAAAAAAAAATGTTCTTTTGTTTACTCATTTGTTCAGTCAACATTTATTGAGCACCTATTATGGCACCTTGCCAGGGGGAGGGAGGAGAAAGACATCAACTCATGAACACACAAACACATGACTAGAAATTTTAACACCGATTTCATTGACTAGAAGAAGGTAGTATTTTTTTCCAAAAGATAAATGCATGCCATAGTAAGAGTACACAGCATGGATTTCAGATGATAAAATGTCAAGACCTGGGTCTTCAGATGGATGAAATGGGGTAAAAAGTGGTGAAGAGAAACTCCATGGAGACCTCAGATTGACAGACTCACGCTTGGCCTTCCATTACTCATCTGGCGGCAGGAGCTGAGCCTCTCAAGGTTTCAGATATTTTGCCCTAAGCTCCGCAGCAAGCATGTGACAGGGCCAGCAGAGCGTGGTCCACAACCACAGAGCCAGCCTGGGGGGGTCCTGACTGAGCTACCCCCCAACTACACCCCACCCAGCTTTCTGAAACTCCCCCACAGTGGCTCCAGAGGGCTGTGAAGTAGCTACTGACCACCACCCAAACCAAAAGCAGTTCCAGCTTCTCTACCACAGCAGGGGGAGGAACATGGTTCCAACTTCAGCGGACACACAGAGGCCATGCTGCCTCCTCTGCAGTATGGGTACCATACCTTCATGACTTTTTTTTTGAGGTGCAATTCATACAACATAAAATTAACAATTTTGAACTGTACAATTTGGTGGCATTTAATAAACTCACAATGTTGTGCAGCCATCACCATTTATTTAGTTCCAAAACATTTCGATCACCTCCAAAGGAGACCCTACACCTAGTAAGCATACCCATTAAATCCTCCCTGTCCCCAGGCCCTGGCCACCACTAATCTTCTTTTGTCTCTATGGATTTACCTACTCTGGACATTCCATATAAGGGGATGCACACAATATGTTGCCTTTTGTGTCTGGCTTCTTTCATTTAGCATAATGTGTTTGCTGTTCATCCATGTTGTAGCATGTACCAGGACTTCATTCCTTTTTATAGCTGAGTAGTATTCCATTACTTACTCCATCTCATAATGAATATTTGGGTTGTTTCCACCTTTTAGGTATTGTGACCAGGGCTATATTCGCATACAAGCATTTGTTTGAATACTTGTTTTCAATTCTTTGGGGTATATACCTAGGAGTGGAATGGCTGGGTCATGTAATAGTACTCTGTTTAACTTTTTGAGAAACTGTCAAACTGTTTTATACAAGACTACAAATGTTGAGCATCTTTTTGTGTGTTTATTGGTCATTCATATATTTTCTTAGGAGAAATGTCATTCAAATCCTTTGCCCATTTTTAAATTGAGTTGTTTTTCTTTTTGTTGTTAAGTTGTAAGAGTTCTTTGTATATTATGGATATTAGACCTTTATCAAACATCTGATTTATAAATATCTTCTCTCATTCTATGTGCCATCATTTCACTTTCTTGATGGTGTCCTTTGATGCACAAGACTTTAATTTTGGTTGAGTTTGTTTTTCCCTATCGTATAAGGTAGGACTCTAACTTCATTCTTTTCCATGTGGATATCCAATTGTCCTTGTAATATGCAAGAGTGGAATAGCTGGGTCATATTATAGTACTCTGTTTAACTTTTTGAGGAACTGTCAAACTATTTTCCACAGTAGCTGCACCATTCAATATTCCCACAACAATATACAAGGGTTCCAATATCTCCACATCCTCAGTAACACTTGTTATTTTGTTTTTGTTTTTTTTTTTAGAAGCTATCCTAGTGGGTATAAAGTAGTATCTAATTGTGGGTTTGATTTGCATTTTCTTAATGACTACAGATGTTGAGCATCTTTTCATGTGTTTATTGGTCATTTACATATTTTCTTAGGAGAAATGTCTATTCAAGTCCTTTGCCCATTTTTAAATTGAGTTGTTTTTCTTTTTGTTGTTAAGTTGTAAGAGTTCTTTGTATATTATGGATATTAGACCTTTATCAAACATCTGATTTATAAATATTTTCTCTCATTCTATGTGCTGTCATTTCACTTTCTTGATGGTGTCCTTTGATGCACAAGACTTTAATTTTGGTTGAGTTTGTTTTACCCTATTGTATAAGGTAGGACTCTAACTTCATTCTTTTTCATGTGGATATCCAGTTGTCCTAGCACCATTTGTTAAAGAGGCTATTCTTTGCCAATTGAATGGTCTAGGATCCTTGTCAAAAATCAATTGACTATAGAGGTACTGGTTTATTTCTAGACTCTCAGTTCTATTCCATGAAATATATGTCTGTCTTTACATCAGTTCTACACTATTTGATTACTGTAGCTTTGTAGTATGTTTTGTGAAAATGAGAACTGTGAGTACTCCAACTTTGTTCTTTTTCAAAATTATTTTAATCTGCTTTAAGCTTTTATCTGGGGTCGCTTGCAATTCCATATGCATTTATGGATTAGCTTTCCCATTTCTACCAAAAAAAAAAAAAAAAGGGCCACTGGGATTTTCATGGGGACTGCATTGTATATGTAGATCATTTTGGGCCCTACTGCCACCTTGACAATATTAAGTCTTCCAATTCATGAACACAGGATGTCTTTCCATTCATTTAGTCTTTAATTCCAGCAATGTTTCATATTTTCAGCACACAAGTATTGCACATATTTGGTTAAATTTATTCCTACTTTATTCTTTTTGATGCTACTGAAAACTGAATTGTTTTATTTTTTTTTGGACTGTTCATTGTTAATGTATAAAAATACAACTGATTTTGGAGTGTTGTTCTTTTATCCTGCAGCTTCACTAAAATTGTTTATTAACCCTAATTGTTTTTTAGTGGATTCTTTAGGATTGTCTACATATAAGATCATGATATCTGCAGAGAAGGATAGTTTTACTTATTTCTTTACAATTTGAATGTCTCATTTCTTTTTTTCTTGCCTAATTTCTCAGGTTAAAATTTTCAAGACAATGTTGCTTGTAAAACTTTGAATAGAAGAAACAAAAGCAGGCATTCTTTTCTTGTGCCTGATATTAGCAGGAAATCTCTTTCACCATTGATTATGATGTTAGCCTATAGTTTTTTCAAAAGTGCCCTTAATCAGATTGAAGAAATTCTGTTCATTCCTACTTTGTTGATTTTTCTTTTTATCATGAAAGAGTGTTGGATTTCCTCAAATTCTTTTTCTGCATTGACATGATGGTATGTTTTTTCCTTCATTCTATTAATATATTACATTGATTGACTTTTATATGTCAAACCCCTTGCATTCCTGGGATAAATTTCACTTGATCATGGCGTGTAATTATTTTAACGTTCTGTTGGGTTTGGTTTGCAAAGACTTTGTTGAGGATTTTTTTTTATCTATATTCACAAGGGTATTGGTCCGTAGTTTTCTTTTCTGGTAATGTCTTTGCCCGGTTTTGGTATCAGGGTAATGTTGGCCCCATCAAATGAGTTAGGAAGTGTTCAATATTCTATTTCTTAGGAGAGCTAGAGAAGGACTGGTGTTAATTTTTTTTAAACATTTGATACAAGTCACTAGTGAAGCCATTTGGTCCTGGACTTTGTCAGGAGGTTTTTGACGACTGATTGAATCTCTTTACTTGTTATAAGTATGTTCACATTTCCTTTTTTTTTTCCTTGAGTCAGTTTTGGTAGTTTGTATGTTTCTAAGGAATTTGTCTATTTTATTTAGGTTTGTTAGCATACATTGTTCATAGTTTTCTCTTACGATCCCTTTTATTCCTTTAAGGTTGCTAGTGATGTCCCCATTATGCTGTGTTTAAGTCATCTTTTTCTTGATCAAGAGTTCACTCGGTTGCTGTAAACCTGTGACTACTTTCTAGAGTTCCCACAAAGTCAATTCTGACGCTAATCTTTTTGGTGTTTCTGTTTGGGGATGGGCTCTTGGAGCTTCCAACCCTGCTATTTGCACTGATGTCACTTCTGTTTTTTTGTTTTCTATTAGAGTATAATGGCCAACCGCCTCTGATGCGCCAAGTTCCTTCCCCCATACATCCCGCCTGACTGGGATTCAGTGCCCCACTACTGGCCTTCCCACCATCTGGGTATCTGTCCCCCACCATTTCTCTGAATTTATCTAGCTCTGATACTAAGCTATGTCCCTTCAAATGTTTTCCACCTTCCCTCCTCCTCCTCCCGCTCCTCCGGTTTGTAGGAGCTCACTCTTCTTTGCTCAACTTTCCTGAGCGCGCGCGCACCCCCCTCCTCCCCCCCAGAGTCACTCTCTTACCCTTGGCCAGCAGGCTCCGCTGTAGCGTGGGCGCCTCCGGAACAGCACTGGCGCCTGCTCGGAAGCCCCGGGGCCTCAGGCCAGGCGGCGCTTCCCTCCGAGGCCCGACGCTGCCGGGAGCTCGCGATGGCTCCACGTGCGCGTCTCCCCGCACGCCGAGCGCGCGCACGCCCGCGCGCCCACGCCCGCGCCTTCGCGGAGGGACCTGGGAGTGAAACGTGGGGCTGGGCCTGGGTCGCGCAGGTGGGCCTAGGTCGCACAGGTGCGCCTGAGAGACGCGAGGTCGACTTCCATGGTTAAGAAAGGAAGAGAGGGAGAAAGAGAGGAGGGTGCGAGAAAGGGAGAAGAAGAAGAGAGAGAGAGGCGCGGCTGCAGGACCGCAGCTCAGCTCTGAGACAGGGGCTTTCCCGTGGTAACCGACCAAATGTCCGAACCAACAAGCCGTGGGGTATGTAGGGCTGGGGGGAGTGGGCAGGTGGGAGGGAATAAAGATAAAACATAGAAAAGGCAGTGATGGACTGCAGCGTTTTAAAGCTTGGGTTGGAGC